CAATTGAAAGTTCATGAAAGGAATTATCCTACCCATGACTTAGAGTTGGCGTCTATGGTTTTCGTGTTGAAACTTAGAGACATAATCTGTTTGGATCCAAATTTGAGGTGTTCAGTGATCACAAAAGTTTGAAGTACATGTTCGATCAAAAGAAATTGAATATGAGGCAGAGAAGATGGCTTAAGTTGTTGAAGGATTATGATTTTGATTTTAGTTACCATCTTGTTAAAGCAAATGTTGTGGAAAATGCTTTTGAGTTGGATGTCCTTTCATACGTCGATGCTTATGGTGCGCGAGTTAGAATTGATCGAGCAATTCAGAGATATGAGCTTGGTGTAAGAAGAAACTTATAACAGTGTGAAGTTTGGGATGTTGAAAATGACTAGTGGTATTCTTGAAGAGATTAGAGAAAGTCAGAAACATGATCCTAGTTTGGTTGACTGGTTTTTGCTGATTAACCAAGGTAACGAAGGTGAATTTTGAGTTGATGAAAATGGTGTGATGAGGTTCGAAAATAGAATTTGTGACCCGGATGTGCCAGAACTTAAGAAGAGTATTTTTGAGGAGGGACATCAAAGTGGTCTAAGTATTCATCCTAATACTACGAAGTTGTATCAGGACTTGAAGAAATTGGTTTGGTGGTCCGATATGAAAAAGGAAGTTGTTGAATTTGTTTATGCTTATTTGACTTGTCATAAGTCGAAGATTGAACATCTGGAGCCTATGGGTTTGATGCAACCGTTGAGTATTTAGAAGTGGAATTAGAATAGTATTTAAATGGATTTTATGTCAGGTTTTCCAAATACTGCTAACAGTAATGATTCAATTTGGGTAATAGTGGATAGACTAACTAAATTGGCTCATTTATTACCGATGAAGATCAGTCATTCCATGAAAATTTGGTTGAGATGTATATCAAAGAGATTGTGAGGTTGCATGGTATACCTTCGATTATTGTGTCGGATAGAGATATGAGGTTTACATTAAAGTTCTTGGAGGGTTTGCAGAATGATTTTGGTAATAAATTGAGGTTGAATTCTGCATATCATCGGCAGAAGGACGGTCAGAAAGAGAGGACTATCCAGACTTTAGAGGATTTGATGAGGGCTTGTATGTTAGAACAAGGAGGAGCCCGAGACAGCCACTTGTCATTGATTGAGTTTACTTATAATAATAGTTTCCATACTAGTATTGCAATGACACCGTATAAAGAGTTATACAGTAGGATGTGTAGGACTCCATTATGTTTGTATGAGTCAGGTGAGAGTGTTATGCTCGGACCGAAGATTGTGTAGGATCCTATTGATAAGATTAACATGATCTAAGAAAGGATGAAAGCTTCACAGAGTGTTCAGAAGAGTTATCATGATAAGAGGAGGAAAGCACTTGTGTTCTGTAGCGGTAAAATCAATGAAGTCGATATCGAGTATTTATTTATCCCACAAAAGGGAAAGGAAAATCATGGAATAAAAACCAAAAGGGGAAATCAAGGTCTTACGATCGGGAGATTGGGTAACGAAGTCGATTACGCGAGGGGAAGGTATTAGCACCCCACACGTTCGTAGTACTCTATGGGATCCACTCCAGTTATTCTAATCAAAGGGTGTATTAAATCTAATGCTTAAAATTTATAAACTAAGAGGGAATGCATGCAAAGAAAACACGGGGAAAAGAAGGAAATATTTACAAATTTTCACTCGACTGAGCCCCGTGACCAAATGCCTACATATCCCTTTTAAGGAATCGGAGCGTTGTAGTTCGGCTCACATATTTTGTTTGTTTGTATTTTTTAATGAACGATATTAATCTTGCCTTCTGTCGCAACTCGACCTTTGGAGACTTACGCGTCAGCACAGAAGTGACTTAACATGTTCTTTTGAAAAGATTTTGAAAGAAAAGCCCATAGGCAAAAGAGTTTGTGTTGGTTGGTGTTTTCTGTTGCAGATAACAGCTAGTTAATATCAAGAGAGAGATAGTATCCATCTCTCTACTTATTCATGAAATAAGTCTTTGAGATTTGAACCACACCAAGGCTTAGAATGGAAGAACCATAAGATCGAGAAGAAACCCGCTTATCATTTCCCATACTCAACAAAGGTATGACTCTCATCGGTAAACTTTAAGTGTCTTAAAGTTTGCAAGAAAAAAGAAGTTTTTGTTTTAATGCAAATGTAAAAGGGGAAAGAAAAAGTCTAAAGGGATACTAACCTAAATCTAACCTAATGTTATCATACAATGAGTGATCCTATCTAAGTTAGCATGCCAAAGAAAGTCTAACAAAACTATCTTATGGGGAACATACAATGAGAGCGAAGTCGTGATCTCAATTTCTAAATTGAGTGAATCATCGATCAACAAGAAATAAAGGAAAGCGATAAAATCCTATAGGGAGCATGCACTAAGAGCGAAGTCGTAATCTCAATTTCTAAATTGAGTGACTCATCGACCAACAACCAAGGAAACAAACACAAGCACGACACATATAACCAATGAAGGGCAGAATGCCTGCTACAGGTCTTTAAACAGCGACTTCAGGCGCACGTTCTTTATTTATTACTTCTCATGATATCTAGAAAGCAATAAAATGCGGAAGAATAAATTGGAAGCAGTATAATACCAAACAAACAATAATGTCCGCAAAAAGCACAACCAAATCAAAGAAACCCAAAATACTTCACGTGAGCTGGCATCAACCAACAAACAGTCATAGGTCGAATATTCAGAATAGATGTCTAAGCTTCATCGATGTGAAAATAAATCACAATCGGAATCCAAACACATCCACATATCAAACAATGAACCTACATAAGACTCAACTCAACATGCAAAAGTGAATCACAAGTTTCAAGTAATCGAATAATTAAGAGTTAATTTCCTAAAAATCAAATGAGAAATCTAACGAAATTTATTTATTTTTATAGTTTATTACACACAAAAAATAAGAGGCAATCCTAAAATCTATACTTTTTTATTGTTTTATCATATGTATTTTATTTATTATTTTTATTAAATAAAAAAAGAAATTTAAACTAAACTAAAAAAACAAGCTTTAAAAGAACCAAAAGTTAGAAAGAGACAGGGGCTGTACTTTTGCAGATAGTGGTGTACTCCGTAAAACAGACACCTGGGCGCTAGGCCCATCAACCCAGTCCAACCATTATTTTATTTTACTAACATCAGAATGCCAAAAAAAATAGATGCGCGTTGGAATCACATTGGGAAAATCCCGACTCATCATTATCATAACATAGTGGCCCAGTTTCAACTTAGCTATTCTTGTTATTCATCCTCTTGAATTAAAACAACAGACAAAGATTAGGAGAAGAAATTAGGGCTCAACTTGTGATTCTTCATATTGCTCTCAAGAGTTTTCTCCCTTCCATGCGGCGCATCCCTTACTCAACCTTCTCCGATCAAACAAAATTTTTTCGTCATGTACTACAATTGGCTCCTCCATTATAGTTCCGCTCATCATCTCTCTCACGTTGGCGTTAAATATTCATCATATTCAAACGGCGGCAACGCTTCAATGAAACATGATTCCTTCGCGTCTTCAAGGTTCTTGCGCAAGCTTCGACAAAACAAGGTTACAAGAGGTTGAAGCCTTACCGAAGGGAGAATGTACGACACGTCTTTTACAGTAACGAACAAGGATAGGACACCAGGTAACTCTCGCTCCAGGTACGATAAAAATCATATTCACTCTTCTTCCTTGTTAATTTCTTGTTTTCATTCTCATTTCTGAATTGGTTGTCATCGTTGTTGTAGAATTTCGTGGAGAATGATAGAAGCCCTATGTCGATGATTGATGATGCTGAAATGCTCTGATGTTGATGTAGGGAGAGATTGATGATTACAGATTGTTGAATATTTGAGATATGGTGAATGAAGGTTGAAGAGGATTCAAGAAGGAGGGTTATGGTGATCAAGGTTCAAAGATTTCACGGAGAGAAGAGTGAAATTTTCCAGTGATTTTTTTTCCAGAATGAGTCGTCCTCCCTCTAGATTGTGAAGAAAATTCTACTATATAGCAATTTAGGTCGATTACAGGTGAGAAAATCTGGGCCCTTGAATTTGAAAATCAGTTAGAGCAATGAATGGTAAAGATCCCCTGTTCTTCCTTGTGATTTTCTATTATATTATCTTAATAACTTCCAGTGAGATTTCTGTTAGTAGTTAGTTGACAGTTAGGTGAACAGACTTAGACTAATCAGTTAGTTTGTTGGTTTTCTGTTACAAATTTTGGTGAACTCCCTTTTTTCTCATGATTTCCTCCTCTTATAACTCGATGCCTTCTACCTTACAACTTCTGATTTTTATCTCGTTTTCTGAGCTAAGCTTAACTTCCTAATTTAATTCCTTCTCATTTTCCTGCAGGCCAACCGTCTTCTGAATAAAGTCACAAGAATTTAAGATTTGTGAAACCGTTAGAAGTTGAGTTTAACAGGGTTAGTTCACGACTACAGTTGTATGTTGAATTTGAACTGCGTAATTTTTTTTGGATGCAATTTGGCTTGAATAAAGTGAACATTTCTTTGTTTTTTTTTGGTTCAGTCAAGTTGAATTAGTTTAGTGTAGGTACGTTTCTGGTTTATCCACAGATCTATAATGTATGATTCCCTACTGTATCAAAACTTTAATATGATTCTTTTTTCAAATGAATGGTAATATGTTTTTTGGGTTGGATTGTTTAAAACTGGTTAGAAAATGTTGCATGGGTTAATGAATTCCCCCTGAATTTATGATTCCCTTGCTTTCGATTCTCTTCAATTTTCTAACTTTTGAGTTCAACAGTTTTCTGATGTAATCTATGGTTTTAAAACTGAATGAACATGGTTTTGGTTATGTTTCGGAATAAGGCTCTTTATTAAGTAGAAAACTTTGGCTTTGATGTATAAGGCTGTCATGCGGGAATTTTCTGAAGGAAGCATGAAGAAGGTTAAGCATAGTACAAGCAAGGTTGAAGTGAGAAGAAACAGAAGTAGGATAGAAGATTAGAACTAAGTTTTAGGAGGAGTTTTTATGAAAATTTCTTTGTAATTTTGAAATTTCATATGATGTATTGATGATTTTGGGATTTGTATTGTAGTATTTACAATGGTTAGTAGTGTAATGATTTTTGATATATGGACTTGAATAATCATTGTAATGGCAAAAGTAACTTGTGGTCTTGAATGAAAATTCATCTTTGGAAACTCTTGAATTCAATGACAAATTCTTTAAGTATCCAAAGTATTATTATTTTCCAAATTGAACTTGAAGTTATAATCTCCTTTGATTAACACTTTACAATTTTGGGATGAAGGATGAACGTTTTGTTTTTTTCATCTTATAAGCTTGCGAATGAACACATGAATCTTGAAGATTCAATTATAAAAAATCCAAATATTCAAAGTTGACTTTATCTTTCAGATTACATTAGGAATTCTAATCATTCCCTAGCTTAACCTTCTTGAATGAATTGTCATGTGTTAGATGTCTCAGTAGTGCAAATGAGACTTGTAGTCCAAATACTGAATCATGAATCACATAATTTTGTCCCTTACTGATGGGTTTATCCTAAAAAATAGTCCTTTAACCTCCATATGAATAAGGAGGCCCTAGTTCACATGATAATTGTAAACAGAATGGAGAAACATTTCACTCCACGATCTCCCAGACTTTCCATGCTTAGGTCCAGGGTCTTTAGAGGAAGTCCAATAGCATGGCTTGTATTGCAATTGCCAACAAAATTGTTCCTCATATGATGAACAAACCCGTACGTTTAAGGATAAACCCATGGTGATCATAGGGCTAAACCCACATTCATGATACTCTTATTTGAAAATAATGAAGAAACCTTAGAGTACATGAGGCAGGTAACGACCTCAGAGCTTGATGAAAGAAGAAGTATTCAACAATCGCAACTACTAACTTCAATTATATGGAAGCTTGTGATCCATCTTAAAGAATAGAAACTCTAATCTCTTGAAGATTTTTGAAGAACTTGCATAGGAAGAAGATCTTGTATTTTGATGAGAATTATCATGATGGCTAATACCTCAAACTTGCATTGATTGGTCATTGGATCTCCTTCTTGATAAGAGGAAACTTATATCTCGAGGAATCCTACTAGCTAAGGAGTTTATGATGCAAGAGATCCAAAACCCTAATTTTATACCAAGAATGATGAGAGCGCCAGTTGAATCAACTCTGAGTAAGGTAGAAACCTCAGTCCATAGAGAAAAACCCTAATCCCAAAGCCTTTGATCTCGTAACCATGGAATCAATGATATGCATGTATATGATATAAGGAGGCATCTTAGGAGAAAAATTGGGGTATAACAAGTTCTAGCAGGGAGACCATGTGTTCTTGAGAGTTACTTTGGTAACTAGGTACGGTAGAGCTCTGAAGTCGCAAAAGCTTACACCATATTTTGTTGATCCATATCAGATTTCTGAGAGGATAGGTGAAGTATCATATCAGATTACTTTATCACTGTTGCTGGTGAATCTTAATGATGTGTTTCATGTATCTCAGTTAAGGAGGTATATTCTGGATACTTCTCATGTGATCCAAATGGATGTTGTACAGGTGAGAGATAACCTGACAGTTATAGCATCACTCGTACAGATAGAAGGTCGTTAAGTGAAGCAGTTGTAGGGTAAAGAGATTGCCTTTGTGAAGGTACTGTGAGATGGACTAGCTGATGGAAGTTTGACTTGGGAGCGCGAGGATCAGATGAGAGATTCGTAACTGACTCTATTTTCCTTGGGTAATTTTTGAGGAAAAAATTCTTTAAGTGGGGGAGAGTTGTAACCCCCAAATTTAGAATTTATTTATTTATTTAATTATTGGTAAATATTTGGTGATTATCTGTGTGATATGTGTGGCATATTGTGGGGTAGTGTGGGATAATGTGCTAATTAGAATAATTTAGATTTATATGGTTTTATTTAATTATTTAGATGTTACAATATAGTTTATATTAACTAGAATTATTTGAATAATGGTCCTATTTAGTTTATTAATAAAATAAATGAGGAAAATAGGATAATTGGTGTGTAGAGAGGATAAGGACAAGATGGTAAATATGATAAGGATTAATGAGAGTATGATGGGAAGAGCATAGGAAGGGTCCAAGGGATAAAATAAGAATAAATAAATAAGGCAATTAGAGGTCAGTCTGCGCGATCATGATTTTTGGAGAAAAGTGAGAAGCGACTAGGGCACAGAGAAAAGAGAAGAGGAATTTATTCTGTAGAACACGAAGGAAAGGATCAATCAATTGCTAATAATTAAGGTAAGGGGATAATCGTTGTTTATTATGATTGATAGAAGGTTAAGGTAATGTAGGGTTTTGTTGTATGGTTTAATTGATGACATATGATTGAATTGATGAAATTATGGATTAATGATATGTTTTGAGGTTCATAAACCATGATTTGATGCATATAATGTATACCATGAGGTATTTTGTTGTTTATATTTGTTATATGGTGATTATTATGTGTTTTGGACTGAATTTGATGTAAAGAATTGGGACTGGTATGGACTGAGACAACAACAAAAATGCAACAGAGAAGTTGCAGTATCGTGACTGTCACCAGGCGAGCTTGGAGAAAGCAGTGTGCTCGAGCTTCTTTGGGAAATGAAGCTGGCGATAGGAATGGTAAAAAAGCATGCACCTGGAAATTGTATAGAGTGGGACGCGTCGCCAGGACATCGCTGGGTGAGGAGCTAGCAAGCGGAGCGCATGCAGCTTTGCCGAGTGAGTCAGTCAGCGAGGGAAAGGCATAAAAGAAATTTGTTTCTCCAGCTTCATTGGGCGGTGCAGCAATGAGCAGAGCGATCATTGGGCTTTGGAAGAGCAGTATGGCATCAATAATTCAGAATGTTGTAACTTGAGTTTCAAGAATCCGTTTAACACGTTGTTCAAAGTATTGGGAAGCTGACGTGCTGAACTATAATATGATAGAATCATATGACGTTGTTGTGTAACATGCATTCATAAAATTTTTGGACGATGCTCCATTATTTTGGAAGGTGTTCCGCTTATGATGAGCCTCAATCCCATTGTGTGGATTGTGTGTGTTATGATGTGCTCCGGTTCCAACAGAGAATCGATCCTGTGGTAGGGATCTTTAGAGGGTGATGACCAAGTGTTCATCAAATGATTTGTTACCATATGCATTTAGTCAATTGTGTGTCATTATCATCCTATGTGACATTGCATGATTTTCTTGATGAGTTATAATGTGACGATAATTGTGAACTATCTGACTATATGATGTTTTAATGATGAAAGACGTACAAATGATGTTATGATGTATTATGTTAATATGAATTAATGATGATTATTATGTGTTATTATGTGATGATGTTGTTGAACTACTAATCTTTTATTTATATCTTTTATAGTAAATTGCGATTACTCACCCTTTCTATTTAAATGTTGCCTCCATATGGGTAACGTGTATGTTGTCATGAGTAGTTCATAGAGGTGTCAATGATAGCTTCAGAGTGTTTCATTTAGTTCACTTTATTAGTGGTGTCTTTGTCTGATATATAACATTGGGTTAGGATTGCTTTGTTGTGCGATTATGATGTTTCTCTTATGTTATGCTAACATTTTTATGGAGACTTTATTTGTAGTTTGGTATTAATAATTGATGAGACTGAGTGTCATTAATTTGAGAAGTTATTTTTTCATGACGATGATTCCACTTTGGTGTTTTTAAAATGATGAGTTTATTTTATAAAGAGATGTCATTATTAATGATGTAACCCGTGTTATGGAGCTGAAATGTAATTGTGATGTTTTGTTATGAAACGTGACACCCTTGAGTGGTGAATCTTATTGATCTATTACATAAGTTAATCGAATAATACATATGGGGTTAGAAGAGTGTTACATGAGTGATTTTAAATTTCCTTCTAAATTTTTCTCTTATGACCATGTTGCCAAAAATGGATACTTTAGGCACAATGGCTTTTTTTTAAAGAAAAAAGATTATGTGTGTCCAAATAATTCATTAGAGAATTACTTGTGCGAGAAGCACATTGAAATTTTGTTCTCCCTATGGAAAAATGTTAAACACAATGTGCCAAACAATGTGTATGACAAGACAGATGCAATTACAATTAAATTGCAGATAAAGTAAATTGAATACAAGGAATTGGTAACACAGTTTGGTGCAATAACACCTACGTTTGGAGGGCATTAACCCAATAAAGGAAATTCACTCTTAATAGTAAAAGTACAAATTAGTCTTAGATGAACTCTTCTAGATCAATTACCTTTTTCTTAATACTACCCATAAATTTTTATTTTGGACTCCCCTTAAATATGAGACCCCTATCACTTTCTCCCAAAAAATATCCCTAGTTTTGGAAATAATATAAAAGGTTGAAATGATGGAACTATTACAACTTAATAAACCAATCTCTATTTCTCCGGATATGAATGTTCAAGAAAATAGAGTTTCACAAGTAAAACACAAGGGCTCAATGTCGCGGTGGGAAAATTTGAGATTAAGTTATTGATTAACTTAACTCATAAAAAACAAGAGTCGCCGCTGAACTTTATTGTTTCCAAAGGAATGGAAAAGTATCGATAAAACCCACAAAAGTTTTAAAACAAAATTAATAAAAATGAGATATGAATACGAGGGTTGGTTATGCAAAAGGAAGGTGTTAACACCCTTCATATCCATGGTACTTAATGGAAACCTCTTTGAAAATTTATGTTATCAAAAAAGTTTTGTTTGCAAAATGATTGATGGGATGGGAAAATAGGTCATTTTTATGATTCTGGTATGCCAAGACTTTGAGAACCCCGTGCCTACGTACCCTCCATGTTCAACGAAGAAGTAAGAACCATGTAGTTCTTCTAAAAAAGAACAAAATGTGTTTGTTTGGTTAATTTTAATGAAAAGACACATTATTGTATTCGAGTAGAAAACTTACTTACTACCCACAAGTATGAAGAAAGAGCATTTGTATTATCTTGATATGAATAATTTTTCTTGGATTTAATCAACAAAAGTAATTCTCAACATTCAAGTAGAAAATATTAATCACTTCACAACATATTTTAGAAGTATAGTAGTTTACATCACTTCAAGAACCAACTAATTTCCAATCTTTGAGAAAAAGGTTTTAAAAGGAAAAATGCATAAAGGGTACAAAAGTTTTGAATGCGTT